TAAAGAAATTTGGCTATACGCAAACTGAATTCTAAATCTATTAAAATCTTGATGAATGCAATCTTGGAGCTTTTATAGAGGAATTTCAAGAAGTTAATGTAACTGTTCGGTAGTTTACACATTGCGTACCGGTTAATTCTTGGAAAACTGGCCGGGATTTTCAATGAGATCATTTTATATCGCTATATGCAAAATATTCAAATACCTTATTGTTATTTCCTAAATTTTAAATAAATCGTGTGGCAGTTAGTAAAGTTATGGAAATACATATTTATACAAAAACGAAATTTCTCGATTTCGGTACGTAGTATGTTAATCTTTTGCGCTGGAAAAACGTGTCACGCTCGTCGAGACGGTTTCCTTTCAAAATTGCTAACTACGTTTTATAAAAGTCGATAGTCTTGTTGAATTACAACTAAATTGTTCAGAAATGTATCACTCTACACAAAACGATTAATAAACAAAATTACACATCTGCGTAAAATAGGTAAAAACAAAATTCTTAGCGCAGACTTTGATGAACCTTCAAATGAATTTCTAGCGCAAGAGGTTGATTCAAAGAAATTCAGTAAGTAACAAAACACTGTGATATTTAAAATTAATTGTAAACAGGATGGCGAGAATTGAAGATATATAAGTATTCGAATAGAAGAGGATGCACTGTCATGAGGAGCGCGTAATGGAAAAGAAACCTTGACAATGTTTGAAAGTCTGGTATTAACGTTCTTTCCGGGAATAAAGTAATAATGGCCGAGCGTAAAGAATAAAGCAAAAGAAAAAATGACTGCAGATAGAAGTAATTCACAGACGATATCGGTGAATGGGACAAAGAAAGACAAGATTCACGTACTTCTCACGATTCAAAAGCAAGAGAGAAAGGCCAACGTTGCGCAAGAGAAGAATGAGGGAATAAAGATAATTCAGCAGTTATACGGGAGCAGAGTGCAGTCAAACAATGTGAAAGAATGAATGGATAGTACAATAATGGAACAACAATCTGCGGATTATAAAACGCATAAAAATGGCAGACGAACGTAATGCATGGCCCATTGTAATTCTGAATAATAAAGTAAAAATATAAGAGATGAAAGTTTCGCAAAGTTCCAATCCCTTTTCTTTGTCGAAACTCAAGTTTGTACATAAAAAGCATGGTCATCAAGTCAATGATTCATATGTAATAATCAATCATTATCAATGATTTATATTGTATGTAATAACGAATGATTATGAATGCTTTATATTGTATGTAATGATCAATGATTATTAATGTTTTATATTGTATGTAATAGTCAATGCTTTGTATTGTATATAATAATCAATGATTTATATTGTACGTCATAATCAAGAATTTAACATTGATTACCGACGGATACATCGAGACTCAAAGATGTCTCCAAATCTGCAAGGTTGATTAACATGCATAATGCCCGTCGCCAAATGCAACACGGTTTGTATGCATAACGACTATTATGTGTTCGCTTTTTTTTATGGTTAATTAATCGCGCAGTTTACGAAGCCACGTGCCGGTAACCCACTTCCGAGGCCAATAAACGATTTCTTTGGTCCACTTATAGAAGCCGCGCGCGAGAAAGAAGAGCGCCGGCGAAATGGGTCTTTGATAGCAAAATGGACGGCGACATATGATTGCCTCCATCGATTTCGAACGAAACATCTGTTTCCGGTTTAGAAACTAATCCGGCGTCAGAAGTGAATTTCACATTTAGTACCACTCGCTGTTTATTCTCGCGTTTATCGATGTAAACAACGATCAATCATTCATCATTCGTTAGAAATCACTTTGACCCTTACGTTAACAACTGAAACGTTTCGTTCAAACCTCAATATTGCAATATTCGTGCATAAATTTGTTGTTTTCAAAGCACAAATCGACGTTGCAGTGATAAACACATTAAAATCTAAAGAAATTGTGTGAAATTCTCACGTAAACGTAACAAATTGTGTACAGAAAAGTTGAAAACTACTCGGTTGCGTATTGCTAAATCGATTTCTTTAACCATTTCTCTGAGAAACATGTTATCTTTTCCATAATTGCAAAGAGAAGAAATCAGGACCACACCAGTTAGTTTCAGTGTTAACAAATAAGAAATTTGTTTCTCAAAGAAAAAGGCTTGAACTTTTGTACAACAAAATATTCCTTCTATAAGCGTGAGTGATGGCTAAGTATTTATTATAACTCTCTTCGTAAAAATACGTTCGATGATCAATGTTTAAATGAAAGGTCACTCACCTGCTAGGGAACAGGAAGTGAGACGGGTATTCTTAGTAGAACAACAACTACGATGATATTGCCACTTTGCAATGTAATGCTTTTAATAGATCTCGATCTGTATAATCCGCGTTCTATAATCAAGAGTTTCCTCGTCGTGTCGTCGACGGTGCCTCGCTACAATGACAGTGACCGTGATAACGAGAATTAGAATAATTAACGATCATCGGAATAATGGTGAATTATGTCAATAATAATGACGGTACTAATAATAAGAATAATTTAAGTCGTTGACTGTAAAAGTGGCTCGATTGGTATTGCTCCCCGAATTTCGAAGGCGTTTGGAGTAGCAGAACTCCGCTATTCATTAAGTTGCAAAACGCTCTAAAACTTCTCGTCTAAACGCTACTCAACGACGAATAAATTCCACGCGTTCTCCCCTCCACCACTTCTTCAATCATTTCCTGATCAAACCATCCGTCACAATGCTGCTCATTCAATAACACGTGGACATAATTCGATCGATCGAGCCTGAGACCAACGAGAGATATCAATAAATTATAGAACAAAATATCGAAACACAAAAACATTCATTCATTTCTCTATTCTTTAGAAATGTATTCTTCTTACTTCTATAAACCATCCTTTTGACATTGCATTTCTCCGAGCCGCCAAAAAGGAAACTAACTTATTATTTAGCATTAGAAAATTAATAAAATATATAATTTAAAAAATAATCTAAACAAAAGTTATATTTTTCAACCTGTAAACTACAACCTTTAATCCTTTGCGGGCGAGTGTCAACATCTCGGCAAAACGAAATTTTCATATTTCAAAAACTAAGTTGCAAGTAAATGTTTTAGTTACTCGAACAACAATAGGTCAGCACGCAGTTTCCTTTCTCTTCTATTATTTAAGCAACTGATGTATAATTTAGCTGTATCTGCTGAAGGTTTTGTATATTCGAAAGAATCTTTGTCCGCAAAGGGTTAATACATTTCAAGCTTCAATCTAATGTTTATTTAAACGAATTTCGTTCAAGAGGCGTGGCATAGAATTCAAAGAACCAATAAACGTCTTCGAACACTCACGTGATCAGCAGCGCATGCGCGTTGCGGTCTCAGCCTCGATCGGCCGGAGTATATTTTGCGAACAGAACGATCACGAAGGCAAGTGCAATAATGGAATCCCTTCTCCCGCGAAATTACCTTTGATTTCGATTCGTGTGGTCTCCGTGTGGAAGTGTGTTTTTGTGTGTACTCGTTAACAAAGCGTCTTGTAAATATGTATAGAGGTATATGTATATAAATACGCGGGACATAAACGTCCCCGAATTGGTTTTTGTTCGCTGGCTAGCTAGCTATTTCGTTGGCTCACTTCCGCGTGGGCTCGACTCGGATTCGATGTCGTGTATCGAAATCAAAAGCAACAGTACAACGAACGACTAGCTTTTACGGTGCAGTTGTAGCCGGCAGCAGCTGGATCCGCAGGACGATCTATTTCGATCCGGGAACGGATGCATTTCTCGACAAACCAGTCGACGGTAATTCATTAACGACCGGAGACTATCAAACAAAAACGATCGAAGGATGGAGACGTTGATAGTTCAAGGTCACTTGCGGAGGAACAGTCCCCATAGAAATTTCGAGAGAACGTATTTAAATCATTCGGAAGCATTTTTGAGATCGATCGAATCAACTGTTGTATTTGTCTCACTGAATTCCAAGATTAACCCCTTGCCTTACAATATCAGACTCGTAGCGAAGATTTCTAATATGCTTTAACCAACGTAAATATTATCCAGTTCTTTTAAGTTCAAATGCAATATTATCTTTCTTGTTGGCAATCTGTATGGTTTAGAGTTGATCTAGATATAAAGAGAGCATAGAATCTTTTCTTTTGCTAGCGTATTATTAACGAAAAGTAGTTCAAACAAGTGCAAAATCAAATCGTAGAGCAAGGGGTTAAGGAACCTTTTCCCTCGATCTAATGCGATATACACAGAAGAGAACTAAGGAATAAATAAATAAAACATGAAAATAAATACTCTCGAATCTTAAAATACTATTGTTATAATCACCTTGGTATCAGCTTCGATAACGTCGAAACAGAAAGCTGACGAAACGATTCTTTTAACATTCTATGTGCTGTTTAACCATCAGAGCAATAATCATTCCAGAAGTCAAAAGAAACCACCCTGACGACCTTCTCTGCCAGATTAACGCTAAACATTCGCATGCCCCTCGAAGCAAGTGAGGTGTTACCGACGCAAACGAGAGCGCGACCAATCGCCGAATTCGGCCATGTTGGAGACATCGATGCTTGGTGCGCGGCCACGCGTGCAGGAACACCGGTGTACATATCCTGTTACGACGAAAATCCAGGCGCAACCTCGATGAAGCTCGTCGAGTGTCTCGATAGTCGCTGAATAAACGTGTGCGAGATCTCGGAAATGCTAGGAACCAGTCGGTTTCTCGGAATTCATTTTGTATTCCACTCGACACCATGGTTTCTTAAAAGAAATCCTTAGAAGCGACAAAATCATTTCCATTATCATTATTCATTCTTTTCGGACTGAGTGGTCTTAGTCATAGAGTACTCATTTTGGAGTCTCACCTTGAAACCAATGCAACTTTTTATTTTCACACTTTTAACACTAGAACTACCGAGGATTAAATACGATTGATATATAATCCCTATGAAAATTGTAACCATAGATTATTTTCTGTTTCTTCAGACATTGATTACAGTATTCAAGTGAAACTATTTATTTCCAAGATTTCGAATATTCAATGCTTTTAACACGTTGACTGGCATGGTAGTCACCGGTGACCGGAGCTTCATAATTGGTTAAAGACAATTACAATAAGAAAACTGATGTCGAAAAAAAATACTTAATAATACAAACAACTGGATGATAGTATAACACGTATACTGTGATACCAAGTCGTTAATAATTATTTCTAATGACATTTGTCTTTGTTATGAAGGAATATGTATCGTTACACAAAACATTCGAAATTCTCGTGGCAGGCAACGTGTTAATACCAGATTTACGGACACTTATTGTACAGTTTATTCTATTGTTCCCAGAAAGATTGATGTTCGTCCGTTTAGATCTAGAAATTAAATATTTAAAAATGTATTATTAGGAACCATAATCACGTAATTGAATTAATCAAAATCGACCCAAACATTTATCAAATAATGTTTATAAAATTCAATTTTATTTAAATTCCGTAAGTCTGGTGTTAAGATATCAATAACTGCGAAAGAAGAAAACATCAGTCATTTTGACAGGCACGGTGGTTCTAGTGTTAAATTTTACTATATCTAACAACGATCATCTCTTCGCTAAATCTTCATAACTTACTATAGTAGAAATTCGATTAGTCTTTTTGTCCATGTACTGAATAGATTAAGACGAATCAATAATTACGTCCACGCGATTTAAAATAAATCCAAAGCAACAACTGAGATCTCAGAATGTTCGAAAAGTATTCGTAAACAGACTTGACCTAGCATTTTCAGGACTTCGCACATCTTTGCTGCTGAATAATCCCTTCGTCCAAATAAACGTGTCGTTTTCTCGTGTGTAACTATACGTATACTTCGTCTGTCGCGCTCATCTCCGCTCTCCTCCATCATTCAGTTGAAAATCTACGCTAAGGACTAGGATAATAGGATAAATTGAACTACACGCGATCAACAAGCCAGTCTAGTGTTTATAACAAGTCTTTTGCGAACGATTACTTTCGTCGAAGCTCGACCACTCGACTCTTCCACCGTTTCGGCACCGTGAATGGACGCTGCTGCACGGCTGTCTCGTTCGCGTATTCGTTGAGCACGCTCGGCGAACGCCAATAGACGTCACCCGCACGCCACGACCTGACTTTTCCACGGGAAACTCGATAAAACGGAAATTTGAAATTTTGGGAGATTCCAAGTTCTTTGGATACTTTGAGGACCTTATCTGTTCGTTTCCGTTTGGTCCCTCGAGATGAACATACGAAAGAATCGTTAACATGACCATTTAACGTCTCCTCGCGCTCTATAAAATCTTATAAAATGAGTTTCAGGTGAACGTGGCTGGGAACGTTTTTTTCATTGGAATTACAAATCTTAAAGAATTTCATCCTTCAGTTTGTTAATTTATACAAGGTTAAACGGTCATTTCAACAATCGCTTCGTATCCGTTTTGTACTTGTGAAATAAAGAATAAATTTAATTTAAATGAACGAAGAACGTACATTCTAAAGGAACTCAGTCACCATGTTGGTGACTTTTAAAGGAAAATAAAAATTTTCGATATTCCCCTGTCAGCAGCGCAACGCCGAAACGGCCGAACAGTGGCGAATGATCCGTTCACCTGTTACCTATCATCTACAACGTAGCGTTCGTAACTTGAAAATGTCGCCTCGCCTACGAAAGTCTCTCGGATCGTGGGTTTTTGAAACGTCGATCCCGAGGAGAGTTAGAATTTTATCGTGATAGTCACGGATGGTAAAACTGCGCGACCCCTAATGTCACTAACAATAAAAGTCGCCTAACTTAAATGTAAGTAATACGAAACGTACAAGCAAGATCTCTATTCGTATGAAGACACGGTGGACCGACCTCAAAAGGAAAAGAGTCCCCAGAAATGAATCATTCTCATTCGTTCGTTAATTAATCACCGACGAATTTTCGTCGCGAATCAATTTTCATAGCCTTCCGCCATTTTTTCTGAGTTTCGATGTGTACATGACCCCTAACTCTTTTCCTTTCACGCGGCCCGCGAAATTTCATCCACCGTGCGACGTCCTTGTAGCTGTTACAATATTAATTATACTATAACTGCATAAATACTCTGTCGTTACTAAATAATATGCGTGTAACGTTATCGTTATCGACTACTTGCCCGGATGTTCATCAATGGCAGACGGAATCTTTACAAGTTCGACGTTAAGCGTCGCCGGATAAGTCGCGTGTCAACGGTTAACATGGCTGCTCGCTGAGAGTCCCTATAAAATCGTATTGTTCTTTTACCGTATGTCCACGAATACTCCCGCTGGTTTCCAATCACGTCGTATTGTGTTCTACGCTGCGTGAAAAACTCGGAACACGGAGACGCGATGAGAACGTAGCTTAAGTTTCATTTCCGAGGCAATGCCTCGCCTGAAGTATTCAACTTAACCTGCGATTTGCCTCCTTCCCACCTTCCCTTCCTCTCTATCTCTCTTTCTCTTTGTATTTTGTTTAAATAGAATTACGATGCTTATAGTAAAACGGTACTTAGAGCTATAGTTACTTTGGTATAGTCAGTTATATCACACTAAAGTCCGCGATATCTCTTGGGAATCCCCCTTCGAAGGTTTGTGTTTAGAGTTCCGCCTGCAGAACCCTGGAAAATATGCAGTAATATAGTTAATCAGAATTGTTAATTAGATCAGTTCAATGAACAATTTTCGGTATTTGCTACAGCAGAGTTCAGATGGAAATTGGATTGAAATTGGATTGGAATTGGTTTTTTAATTATTTATACTATTTAGTATATAGTTATTAGTTATTTAGCACACTAGCTAGTATCAATACCTAGATTCAAAATGAAATAACATAGGACGAATTATTTTCCAGAAAACGTAGAACAGAAAGCAGATATTTGAATAATTCGTTTGATTAAAACTTACATTAAACTAGTGAATCGCGCGGTTATTAATACGTTAGGCACCATGTCAAACACTGATGACCGATGCTTCTAAATTAGTTGAAAACAATCGTAACATACAAGATAACCCATATCGAATGAAAATGTTTAATAATATAAAGCTTATAATAGTCTAACGCAAAGATTTAACGCTAAATAATTAATAATTGTTCCCGTTTTTCTTCGCTACAAGAGAATAACTCTACGGAAAACGGTTAAGATTTCCGCGGCACTTAACGTGTTAAGAAACTTTCTCATAAATGAAACGCGATGAAAGTCGAGAACGACTTTTGTCTGATGCATGAGAATGTTCTACAGATGCAGTAGTCTTAATAGCTTTATGGGATAATTACCTGTCATTGCTTGGCAGACTTGAACCTGGCAAGTTTCAATTGCACCGGGTTAGAAACTTTCACGTGAACCGCGATGTCCTCGACTGGAGCTTCTCGTACGTCTTGGCCACCTACCGCCACCACTCGGTCACCTTTGCAAATTTTCCCGCTCTCCAGAGCGCTACCACCCGGCAACTAAAACAAATACAATGTAAGTTCAGTGAAAATAAGATTTCCTATTGTTATTTAGGTTAGACATTATTTTCGATTTAAAAACTCCTATCACTATTTAAGTAGAACCTAAGCATTAGAATATTATTGAAAATAGCTCTCCAGAGTGCTACCACCTGGCAACTAACATAAATACAATGCGAGCTCAATGAAAATAAGATTTCCTACTGTTACTTAGGTTAGACATTATTTTCAATTTAAAAACTCCTATTACTATTTAAGTAGAACGTAAGCATTAAAGTATCATTGAAAACAAAATTTGCATAAATTAAATGTTATAATATAACGAAGATGTTTAGCAATGAAAAAGTCGAAATTAATTTACCAAATCTGATACGTATGCCCCTTTGCCGCTCTTATATCCTGTCAAACAGAGGCCAGCTCCTTTGCCGGATTTCTTCTGCAACTCGACTTCGATTTCTTCTTCAGGCTTCTCTTGCCGATGGACAGTCATCGTGATCTGTGGATTCAAATTAATTGAAAAATATATTATATTACGAAACATTGAATATAATAATTAACATATGACAAAAGAAAACTCCTTACAGTTCCAGTAACTTTCAGAACAGTCGCATGAGCTTTCTCGTGCTCGATTTCCTTGAAACTATGAGTGCACATGTCGAGTATTTGGTCACCGGACTGCAGGCGGCCATCTTTGCCGGCCGCGCCGTCTGGAAACACTTCGATGATGAACACTCCTTTCTGCAATAAAAAGAAATGATCGTCTGATCAAATTATTCTTCAATTATACTTCAGATATTAATCATTCATTTTTAGCAGTTCTTATATTAAATATTCTTCAGAAGTTAGTTACATTTCTTGCAATAACCATCAATCATCACTTCTACCAACGAGTTTCTAACATGCTACAATCAGAACATATAACATTTGCCCTGTACATTTTATTATTACAAAATAATTTCGTTCTATAAGAAATCTTACACATGGAGTGTCCGAGCCACCAGCTATAGTGAAGCCAATGCCTTTGTCTTTCTCTTTCTGGAACTCTATAACCGTATCTCTTCCGGCCACGATCTTGCAATCCTTTGGATCTTGAGGCGGCTCAGGCTCTGGCGGTTTCTCTGGTTCCTTTGGTTTCTCTGAAACATCAATACAATACACATTAGCAAAAATACAACACAAAATTCGAATGAAAGATCAACGAAAACTGAATCACGAAGAAATTCTCTAAAAATTCAAATCATACCTGGCTCTGGTGTAGGAAGTATACCCTTTGCCCTGTCTTCCTCTTCCTTCGCGACCTTAGACTGATTTGGATTGCACACAGTGAGCGTCACAACTCCTTCAGCTTTTTTTAGAAGACTGGTAGCCTATGAATACGAATAAATGAAAAACTTATTCGACGATTCACAAATAGAAGTCGCAACAATAATGGTCGTTGGTGAATACCTCGTCGTAAGTTGAACCCAACAGGCAGTCCAGGTTAACAGCCAAGATCAAGTCGCCCACTTGTAAACCGGCCTATAAAAGTACGAATAAAGCCAACGATTATACATTCAAAACAGTACATTGTGTTCCGTATCTAATTAGCGCTGAAGAGACGTGGAGAGGCAATAGTGTTGTCACCGGGGAACAATTACCTGTTCAGCGGCGCTACCTTCTTGTATGTCAGAGATGAATATACCTTGACCGACTTCCGCGTGTTTTCCTTCGATGATCATTATACCCAGACCATACTGACCCTGAAAAGAGGAACTCGCATGTAATACTCAAATACGGTCGAGTGCGTTATTCCACTTCGTAGAAACTTGCCTTCTTCACGGGCACGTTGCGTACGCCTTTGTACTGGCTGAACATTTCCGACTGTAATGGGAAAGAATATTTTCTTGTTACATTATATGGAAGTATATGAACAAGATGTTAAGAGAAGGATAAAGAAAATTTATAGTTAGAGAAACACACGAAGATTAAAGAGGAAAAGGAAGGATCAAGAGACCTGTAGCTTTTTAACCCTTTGCACTCGAGAATAAATATATAAAGAATTAGTTAAAATATAACATTAAATTGTCAATTTAAAATTATTTGAATGATAAATATTTTGTATATAAAGATTAATAAATTTCATTGAAATTTATAAAAGTATATAAATATTTTAAATTAATTTATATTAACATTTTATTAATGAAACAACTCTCATTTAATTTGATATAACAAAATTAGAAAATGTTGTATATAATATTAAGTTTTGTATAATGCATCAATATGTAAGATGTTTATATAAAATAGCTTTGTTTCTTAATTTACGTATGTTCTCTCATTAGTTCGTTTCAAATAGTGTCGTCTATCTCATCGGAAAGTGTCGAATGTTTTTAGTGAAAAGCTTCCGAGTGCAAAGGGTTAATTTACAAGCTGTAACGATAAAATGAATGAAATGTAAGATATTAGGTTTGTAAATATATATTTTAGTTCAAAGAAATGTTGAAACTCACGTCATCCAGAGCAGGAGGGAACTGGCTGATAGGTTTCACAGCGATGTCGTCGATGCTCTTTGACCTCCTACGAGAATATCATATGTATAACCAAACAAGTCTTCATTGTTGTAAGAAAATGTTAGTAATCTACAAATATATACTTTACCGTACAACGACAACTTTGAAACAGGTACCAGCCATTCCTTTAATTAAGGCGGACGCGTTCAGGTGACATCTTCCTTGGAGAACGCATCCATTTACCTAAACACGTGAAAAACACATTTTAAAGTATACCGAACTTACTTATAAACTTATTCGTGTATTTTCGTATATGAAATTATACACCTTCGTCTTGTGGACATGTAATTTTAATATGAAATCAATATGAAAGTTTGTATATTATTATAAATATACATATGATTTATATGTATATTTTTCGATTTCTTCATATATCCATTCTGCTAATCAATCGAAGCTATTTATTTTCGAAATCACTTCAGACATTTGACATTTTCAAGATATCAATAATCACGAATTGGGAAAATTATGTCCCATTTTCTGCGCGGTACTTCTAGTTCGTCTGCGCAAATCTATGAATTTTTCATTCCAGAAAGAAACCTGTATTCAGAAAGAATCCGTTCCTCGTTTGAAAACATTATTTACATCCATAAAATTAAATATGTATATTGCTGCAACTTGCAAAGTTTGTAATAGTTCAACATTATTAGAGATACCTTAGTAAAAAATGAAATTCGAAAATTCTATGTTACGTCCTCGTAAAAGTTTTAGAAGATGTAATTAATGTTTCAAATAGACAATTGTTCACCGATTAAAATACTCGAACACAATATGTTACGAAATATAAAGGACAGCAAGCAAATATATCGTATAAGGTCAGACGAACAGAGGCAACTTGATGAATAATTTCAATAGCTGAGCGTCTTTAAATCAATATCAAGGAGTGGATGTGGGTTCGCACCCAATTAGTACTCTCGTCGCGCGAATACGATTGTCACCGTCCGAATATCGATTATTAAGGCCAAACAGGACATTCGCGCGGAAGAGAAAATTTACGGGGATGTCGGACGTACACACCTCGAGTATTTCGTCGCCGACGAGCAGCTCTCCTCCTTTATAAGCGGAACCTCTTGGATTAAGGCCACAAATGAACACTGCCATTCGGTTCCTGTCTCTGTGCCCGGCGAGAGAAATACCCAAACCACGCCTATCCTTATCCACTTTGACTAATAGCACTTTGTTTCCCAACCCATGGTACTTCTTTTGAACTTTCACTGCAATGAAAAACGTTACACAGTTGCATACACGCCACAGCAGATTTCAAATGGGTACGGTTTTGCGTAACAATATCTTCTACAATGATAAAGTTTATTAAAGAATGAATATGATGTGAGAAATAATGAATGAATCTTTTTGAAAGTAAATTTAAATTCGATGGTACTTTGTATTTAGATTCGAACTTGTTAGTGTGAATTTTGGAAAAAGATTCATTTTTAGAGATACAAGAAGTATAAAGACTCGACTGAGAAAATGTTTAACTCTCTGTATTTATGATGAAGAGTGTCGATTAAAGTTGTTCAATCACTCACTATTCGTGTAACCGAACTCATCTTCCTTCTCAGGGTCTGCTTCGATCTCTTGCTTCGTTCGTTTCACATTTCCTGCGCTCTTTCTCGAGATCTAGAAAGAATTACCTTGTAATCTCTATATCCTCCGTTAGATAATAACAAATGATTGTTTCCCAATTGAATTGTTTCTTTCTAGAAAAAATGACTTTGTAATCCCAGATGCTATATCTTTCGTTAGATAATAAATTGTTTGCCAATTAAATTATTTCTGCCTAGAAAGAATTACTTTGTAATTCCAAATGCTACATCCTTCATTAAATAATAAAGAAATTGTTTCCCAATTAAACTATTTCTTTCTAGAAAAAAATGACTTTGTAATCTCAAATGCTATATCCTCCGTCAGATAACAAGGAAATGATTGCTTCCCAATTGCATTGGATAATCAAGCGAAAGAAACAAATACACTCTCGATCGATTATTAATAATCATTATAAATGTTATTAAGGTATCTCTGACAATACTGAATTACCTCCATGCCAGCTTTCGTATAAATGTTTCCCTCGAGTTCTCTCGTATCTTCATCAGAGCTCTCGTCCGACGAATACTTCCGCCTCGGCGTCTTGTCTTCCGGTTTCGCGGCATTATCTTCCTTCTCCTCGCTCACCTCGCGTAAAATGCCGGGATTGGAGGGCGGTGACGGCGCCTTCTTCCGAATTGACTTTTTCATGGAGGATCTAGGAAAGTTAATCGAATTCGTGGACTCGGGCGGTTCCAGCTAACGAATTATGCAAGCGAAACCAATTGTTTACCTTCTCGCGCTGGATCCCGCGCCATCTGATGCTCTTGTACTTTGCCTTCGGAAATCCGACCTCGAACTACTCTGCTTTTCTTCTTCTTCGACTCTTCCCTATCGGGGAACAGATAAAGTCCGGCTTATTTTAGAAACAAACCTTCTGATTTTACTAAACGGAACTTCCGCGAAGTTTCCAGCTCGAAGTCCGCCGCTTTTGCGTTTTACTCGAGAAGCTATTTCGTCTGAGAATGAATATAATGCAGTGTGCAGTTTAACTAACACTAAAACTAACAAACAGGTCAAAATGACCCATTCCTTATACCTCCTTTTTATAAGAATTGAAAAAATAACAGAAGTTTTTCTGAGAAATTATTATAGAAATTGATTTAGCGATACGCAAACTAAATCTTAAATCAATTAAAGTTTCAAGAAATGCACTCTTAGAGTGTTTACAGAAGAATTTCAAAAAGTCAACGTCACTGCTCGTTTTAGTGCTAAAACCGAAACGCCAACGGATGAAATCGATGTAAACGATAATCACAGTTTATGGATAAATATATTTATACTTCGATTAACACTGTCGGCTGTGAAGAATAGTTTTCCTTTGAATGAAATTGAATAGGATGATCGTTTCTGATGAAGGTGCAATTATCACTGAACTGTTCGTCGCGATGCACGATGATTAATGCAGTAAATTTCGAGAAGAAAAACGATTTCCGCGTGAATTATTCGCGATTCATGTTGAATTTGAGTAAAAATATTATATACGTTCTGAAATCCATGGCAATAAGATGTAACGATAGTGTCCCAATGGACGATCTTCGCGTAAACTTTGTAGAGCGTCTGCTCCATCTTGAATCTCCGCGACACTGAACCGCTGAGCAACGTGTTCATCCTTCGCGAATCAGGCAATCGGCTCAGACAATAACTACAGTGAATTCACTGTCTACCGAGTCAATCATGGACGGCCCGGTACGTCGAATCGCTGCGCGCAGGTATTATTAGGTAACCAAACAATTTCGTGCGGCTCTCATATGGTTCTATTATCATTTCAATCCCGTTAGTTGTGCAAACATTTTATTATATTCGAAAACATTTTGTCTAAATGAATCTCTTTTATGGTTTACTTTTGTCGAAGATTAATTTTTATTAGTAAAGGGAATTATAATGTTAGTGATTCTATATGGATAAAATAATAACTAATCATTCGGTGGATGATTAAACGTGATTTTTTTTATTCTCGAGATTATTATGTACTATTAACCCCTTGACCTACAATATCGTGTTAGGCTCGTGACGAAAATTTTAAACTGAATTTGACAAAACTAAGGGTTACGTAATTTTTTTAAATATTAATTAAATAATGATTTTCTAATAGAATTGTTAATTTTTGGAGTAAGCATAGGTATAAAATAAGCATCAAAAAGTTATTAATGATAAAGTTAAGAAATAAATCATAGGGCAAGGGGTTAAAATACGCATTAACATTAAACAACATATGAACGATGAAGAAATAATATTGAATATTATTAAATATATAAATATAGAATCGAGGAAGAAACTAGAATAAAAAGTTCGACTGTCAATATAATTATTGCAATTAGTGAACGAATATAAAGCTTAAAAAAAAAGTTCAAAAAATAGTGGAATGAGAGTATTCGTTATTACAATCTCTATTTGTTAAGAATAACTGTTCTACTGCGAAACCAATTAAATATTACAATCCACCATTGAAATAATCATGCTTTCACGTTCTAAAATCAACGAGAACATTCCCCAAAATGTCAAGAAAAAGTGATCAATCCCACAATAAAACAGGCAATCGTTAAAACTTCAAAAATAACATGCCACTGTACTCCTTCTATTAACACCTAAACGACCGGCTATTTAATTTGCAGCAGTACGCACACGACCAGCAGTCAAGGTCGAAACTAAACTGAGACCAGTCACACGCTACTCTTTCGACCGACCATCTAATCATAAACAAAAAAACAACCCAACGAGGAACAAATCTTAGCAACACTACACTCAAATATCACAAAAACTAATACAAGAAACAATTAAAACGCTCATTCAATAAAGACACCATCACAGTTAAGTACAAATACACCAAAAACGTTAAAAACGCAATACCAATCAACACTACATTGAACTCAATCAGAATATTAAACGTGTACAAACATTACACCCGAAAAGTCCCCATCAATTTCAATTAACACTTCACCCGCATTCTATTAATTCTCCGTAAATCTCTAATCCCCGGATGCACGGGAGATAAATATATAATCAACAAAAGTAACACAATAAACCTTCGTAAACCCAGTGTTAAGAGTTAAAGAATCATTTCCAGTTGATCCATTTCCCCTGCTCCAAGCAAAGAAAGTTAATGAAACGTTCGAACACGGAGCGTTCGCGCGATCGAAATCGCTGGAAGATCGGACACTAACACTAGATTCACAATAATACTACAGATTTCTTCGTAGAAATCGCGAAAATTAGTTTCAAGAAGTTAGAAACCGCACGAGGTTCGTCGGTTACCTAAGAACTCCGCGAGACGATCGCAGAGATCGTCTAAAATTGGTAGCCGGGCACGCACGCGTGAGTGTTTGGTATCGTAAATTTCGCGGCGGGATGGATCGGAGCCGGTCGGGTCTTGAGTGCGCGACGAAATAGACTGACAAGACACGGCCGAGTCCTAGAGGGGCTTTCGGCCGCGAGGAGCCATAACAATCGATTCCATCCCGCCGAATTAATTTACATCGAACACAATCGAACGGTCGGCCTCCTTCCGCGCTCTCCTCCGTCCGTTTACGATCAAGGCCTCGTCTCCTACTCCCGACGATCGCCGTGAGAATTCAATCCATTAGCTAATTATAATTCGATCGACCGACTTCGACGCTCGAACCGGTCAAACGATCTTCGATGGCAGGCCACCGCGCACTTCCATCGAAAAGTTATCGATTTTTCCGCTCGCGGCGTGATTCCGGGGTTAATTCGATTTCCACGTGGCACGCGATTCCTCTTTATCGTTGACATGGACCTGGAGTCTAGGTCCTGGACGTGTTAGTTCCAGGACACGTTGCTGCAGAGGATTTTCGAATAGGTAGTGGGATTTTTGTTAACGTTAAAACTACCTTTAATTTTTGTATGTTTCCCTTTATTAGAGATGTTACTGGAACTACTTGATAATTGAGATTTTTTGATACTTTCTGCAGATGTTCTTAATTCCAAAAAGTTTAACCCTTTGTTTAAAAAATTATCAAATTTTTAATTCAATATTAAACCTTGTGTAACATGTCAACACATAAAACGTCGAAATAAAATAGCATCTATCCCTGAATTTTTATACAATAATTAATTGTGTTAGTTGCGAGAGATATCGTTAATATTTAGTCGGAAAGCAATGAATATTTCTAATGAAAAATATTGTCGAGTCCAAAAGGTTAACAGTAAAACTAGCAGTTAAATTGACTTTTTGAAATTCCCCTATGGAAACTCCAAGAGTATTTATTGAGGCTGTAATTGATTCAATAAAATTGGAGTGTAACAATAATTCTCGGAATAAGAAATACTAGATTAATGTATTGTTCGTATGATACTTCGGAAGACAAGACTACTAAATCAAGATTACAGGCAAACGATATATCCATTTTATCTTGATGCTCAGCGAATGCAGCATACAAGTCGCTCAGAAGTCAATGTGGTTAAGTCGATTTTTCGATATTTTCTAATTTTTGTAAATTTTCATGCAACAAATAATGTTCCTTTCAGTTATTCAAGGATCTACTCGTTTCTTCGTTTTTTCTAGGTCAGAAAGCTTGCAGCTTCTGAATATATTATGTAAAATTAGTTTCGTAGAAAATTAGTTTCAAGAACAGAGAATTATAACATATGTTCGCACCAATTAAAATCGACTGTAATTCTAATCAAATAATCTCCAAAAAATTCACTATCCATAAATCTAGTGATAATTTCGATTCTTGTTTTCCGGACTGAACCGTATTGGCTCCCGAGCGTCTCACGCAGTTCTTCAATTCCTTGTTTCACTTCAGTAGCATTTGCATCGATAAAATGGTGATTCCAACGATATCTGTTTAATCAAGACTGACGTCCAATCACAAGATACGTCCTTGCTCAAGGTGGAATCGAAAGTTACCGTTCAGTAACATCGCGAGCACCGGCAAGGGCACAGAAATCCCCACTTAGCCGTGAAAGACGGACATCCCTAAACAAACAACGTCAGCGCAGCGCTGACGGATAAAAAGGAGTCGCTGAAAGATGGACGCGAGGGAAAGCAGCGTTGCGTGAACCAGAGGAAACGACCCACCTGTATCACTTCCGGCGTGGTGGACCTGGCTGACGTGACAGGTGACACGGCTTGACGATAGGTAGGCGTACCGGGAGCAACTCCGCTGGTAGGCACTCGATTCTTGGTGCTCTGCCGTCTGCCTAGTCTGCTGCCGCTGTCCTCGCTCTGGCCACCTTCGTTTTCGTTCTGAAAATTTCCCAAACCACCTCGTTATCATCCCTGAATCTCGAACTAACGTCGAGTCTACAGTTAAGATGATGTTTCCATGGAAAATATCGCACGTCTCGATATGTTTCTATATTTCTATTGAATTACAGTACCAACCAGTCTTCTGACGAGTGAAACTCTTAACGCGACTATTACTTGTGATTCTGTGTTAACCCTTAATCGACTGAAAATATTTCAAGTAAACTTACCGCGAAGGAATGCCGTAACATAGATAAGAAATTCACAGAAGTGACCTAGCACAGTACGTATTAATGGTAAATATTACAATAACAGTGATAAAAATAATACAATGATTCTTACCGCGGAGTAAATAAGTAAAACCATGCTTATATGAGTTAATTCCGTTAAGGGTTAATACAGTATAATTATAGAGATATAATCATAGAAACTCTAGATTTCGAATTACATATCATATTTATAATTATTCCAATAATAGTATATATTTATACAGATCAGTCCTCAAAAACTAGAATGCAAATGTAACCCAATTTCTTCTTTCATAAAAATTTTAAATTAAGCACGTTTATTCGTCAAGTAACTAGGAATGTAATCAAAACTGTGCGATGTTTTCCACGACGTCGGAATTTTATTACAGAGAAACTCACTGCGAAGACCGATTCGGAGTTAGTATGTACCGATTGAGGAAAAGTAAAATGGCCGCGCGCGCGCCGCCGTCGAAATGGCGGCCGGCGTGCCCATAAACCTATCGCGTCGGATCGCCGCGCGATCGAGTGTTCACCGGGAGCTGGTTGAATTGTTGCCAGAATAACTATAATTTAACGGCCTGACGCGTTTGATTCCGCGGCCATCGGCAATAACAGTGAGTTTCCCGCGGCCGCCCACCGCTGCGCCGTTCTTAGGAATGCGATTAACGCGTGTTAGTTGGACTCTGGCTAGCACGAGTCTCGCCATGCGTTCCACTGACTGGGGCTCAAGGATCTTGGACTTCTAGTCTCGTTCCGCGCCGAACGAGAATCCGCGTGCGGCTTGATAAAAACCGGGGGATTGCATCGCTCTCGTTTGAGCAGACGCGACCGACGGAGATTGGAGATATTGACGAAAGCGTCGGTAAACCGGAAATTTGAATTTTTTTTATTTAAACCATGACGTTGGCGGAAGGCGAATTTTCTTCTCAGTTACTTTTTACGTATCGAAGGGAAAATGCTAGTAGATGCTTCTAATTAGAAGCGGGGTTAATTGACCTTAGTAATTGTGCTTTGCTTCGTAACGTTTAGCTAGTTTCCCGGGTCAATTGAAAGAGGAAGGTGTTTGTGAGAATTACTCGAACTTTGAAATTGGAATGCAACACTAGTGTCACTGAGCTCCAGTTTCCTAGATCTGATGACTGTTGCACGAAATTGAAGAAAATTCGAGGTGGTCGGAAGAATTGTTGATCTCATTCATTCACTGGTATTTCAGAAGTGTCAGTAATGTAGGAAGTACTTGGAATCCAATGAAATTCGTTCGAGTATTAGTTTCACTAATGTTAAGTTTTTGTAGAATATGGTTATACCACAGTTGAAATCAGTCTTCAAGTGAATAAGATCAAATGAATCTGTGAATATATTCAATTAGTAAACACTCGAACCAGTGTTCTGAAGTTTTCAATCAAGAAAAAAGAAAATGAAAGAAATTAGTAGAAACATAAACCATAAAACACCGTTATCATTAATATCAAACCCCAAGCCCATCAAACAACACAACCTCAAAGAAACGAGCAAGTACAAGATCAGAAACACTGTCACTAGAAATTCCCAAGACCATTAGAGAAGCACTCAAGAAAATCACCGAAGCTCTCCGACCAGAGAACACCGAAACTACCAAACAGCCCAGCGGAAGCAAACCCATAAAAGATCGATGGTAGCTTCAAACAAAAAAGCACGAGCACCACTGACTCTCCGAAGTCTATCAAAGAGACCACTGAACCCAAACTCGCGAAAGAATCAATTGTGAAATAAAAACAGCACAAACATCACTGGCGACGAGTCTTCAATATCCACTACGGAATAATCAAACTCCAGAGGATCCAGCGAGAACGTTCGATCGTGAATCCACGGGACATCGAGCCGAACGATCGCGGAACAACGGAATCATCCGTGTTTAATTGCTACCGGAAGTGGCGCGGCGGTGTATTCCCGCGGGGTGGCAACGGTTTCCTGTGTCGACGCTTATGTAACGTACTACGAACGAGACGCATTTGCGTCCGAAGAGGCGGTGCATCGCGAACGTGCTCTTGAGGCAGCGGTGCCAGCTAACGTCTGCCAGCCGGTTTCGTGTATGAAACTGCGGGGTGTCGATATATCAGAAGGGAGAGAGAGAAGGTGGATGGTGGTGTTG